GAAATGTGGTTGACCATTGTGTAAAATAGCATGAAAGATGGGTTAGGAATCCTTAATAAGGAGGATTTATTGGGCAGAGCAAGGTGGGAGTAGGAGGAAAGAGGGACCTGAAATGTAGGTGGGAACACAGCTAAGCTCAGGAAAAAGGCCAAAAAATTGAAGTAAGCGTCAAAACGAGTTGGGTGAGAAGCCAGGGCTTAGGCGGGGGTAGAACAGGAAGGAGATCTTGCTGCAGCATTTTGGGTATGCTGGAGGAGGTAGGGAAGCTAGAAAAGAGGTGGTATTAGTCAGTGAGAGACATAAATCAGGGACTTAGTAGAATTGCCAGATTTTGGAGAGCTGTCACAGTAGTCTTCAGATTGTGATCTCTGGGGTTCTTCCTGGCAATTTCAAAATGAAGTGGTTCAGTATTTTGGAGGGGCCAGGGTGTGATGGGAAGGTGTGGTTCCATGACACCCATTACTTAAGAACTGAACACTTGAACAACTTCTGTGTAGGGGGAAAAATTGATCAGACCTGTCAAGTCTGCATGTGATGCGAACTATAAAGGATGATCTGAAGGTTTTGAGTCTGGTTGGTAGAGAAGGGAAATTCCACTTGTGAAAGAGTTAACTGAGGAAGGAGCATGACCACAAGAGAAATAACTTGCACATGAACAGGCTGATTTTAGTTAGTAACCTAATAGTGCTTACCCAGGTATGCTGTGTGGTGCTGCTGGGCTTACAGTATAAAGACAAAAAACACTGTCTTTAGCATCAGTGAAGGGGAAGTGGTCTCTGCTAATCTAGATACTGGCTGTTTCAAAACCCAAATGATATCCTTGAGCCCTTTCCTGCCCCCCTTGAGCCCCCTAGCAGTTAAGTGAAGCTAAGCAGACTAGGCTCTGACTTCCCTACTCTGTTCCTGCTCGTTGCAGGGTGGCCCCACTCTGGAGCAGAGATTTGAGTCTTACTACAACTACTGCAATCTCTTCAATTACATCCTTAGTAAGTTTTGATCTGGTTACCAGTGTTTGCATTTGGGGGCATGGGATGGCCTGGGAAGAGGGAACTGATGTATATTCATTTATAGATCATAAAGGGAAAGATTCCACATTCCCTTCATGGGTGAGAGGTTTTATTGAGTTGATAGCACTTTACATTCATGTATAAAGAAAATAAAAGAAACCCAAATCCTAACTCTT